GCGGGCGCGCCCCAGCGTCGCCCGGGGCTGGGAATGCGGGGGCCGGAGTGGGGGCTCAGGAAGGGGTCCCAGCGTGGGAGGCCGGGGCGGGGGCTGAGGGGCCCCTCCCAGCTCGCGAGGCTGCGGGCAGGAGGCCGCGACGTCTAGTACTTAGCAATGTCCCCCTTCTTCAGGATAACCTGTCGCTGCCAGGGCGCCAGTTTGGTCTCATCGTAGCCCAGAGTCCGCAGCTTCTCCGACTGCTCTTTTTCCCGCTGCATCTCCTCCTGCTTCTGTCGCTCCTCCTCTTTCCTGGGGACGGGGTGGGTGCAGAGCCCAGTGAAGCGGGGGCGGTCAGAAAGGGTGGGAGGCTGGCGCCAGGACGGCAGCCGGCCGGGGTCTCCGGTGGCAAGGAGGGGGTTACTGGGGTTAGGGGCTGTGTTGCTGAGGACAGAGGGGTTTGACTGGGGACGGATAAGGGTTATTGCGGCACACACAGGAGCTGAGTAGGAGGCTGAGGTCCGGTTATTGTGGGCTGGGGTGTTACGGGAAACAGACTTGCTGGGTCTCTGTGTGACACTGTGTGAGAAGGGGTGTTCAGGGGTGAGAATATTGGGGCCAGGGCATGAGTTGTTGGGAAGCCGTCAATCTGAATTCTTGGGGACTGGGGCTGGACTGCTAGAGAGCAGAGGGACCATATTATCGGGAGACAGGAGCTGGGGAATTAGCAACAAGCTGTGAGGACACGGGGGTAGGTCTGCTCTGCCCACAAGTTAGCTGCTAAACACAGGTGGCTGTTGAGCATTTGAAATGTGGTCCAGATTGGGATGTACTGTAGGTGTAAAATGCACAAGGTTTTTCGAAGACTTAGTTTAAAAAGAGTGTAAAACGTCTTAATAATTCTTATATCGAATACGTTTGAAATATTTTTTATGTAATGGGCTAAATAACATATTAAAATTAAGTTCACCTACATGTTTATTTTTTCGATGTGACTACTAGAAAATTTAAATTACATATGTGGCTAGCATTATTGTCTATTGGACAGCCCCGAGCTAGATGACTGGGTGCAGAAACTAACTTTTGGGGGGCAGATGATCAGGGTTATTGGTAATGGGGTTGTGTTTGAGACCAGAAGGCTCTGTTAATAGGAGATGGAGACTTGCTAATTTGGGAACAAGGTTATCAGAGCATAAGAGCTAGACTTTGGGGGACATGGGGCCAAGTTATTGGGGGACAGGGGTCTGGTGGCATTATTGGGGACAGAGAGGCTGTGCTACAAGAGGATGTGCTCAAGATAGGGCTCTATGAAGGGACAGCCCTCCGTGAGTGGGTGTAGGTAGCAGTGACACTTACCGCTTCTGCTCCCTGGAAGGAAAAACAGACAATGTTACTTGGTGTCACCACCTCATAGACAAAGTCAAGACATCCTGCCTGGCCAGCCTCCTCCTGACCCCCAGCTCACCTCTCCTCTTCCAGCTTCTTCCGCAGGATGTCCCGCCGCCAGGCAGGCATGCTGGCCAGCCGCGCCTCCTCCTCCTCCTCCTGAAACACAACCACAGAGCTTTAGAGCCAGCATGGGCTGGGAGGTATGGGGCCTGATAGGGGGCACCTCCAACTGGGAGGCCTGGAGGAGTTAGGGACAATGGGACACAGATGTAGTTGCAGGAAAAGACCCTTCTATGGGACAAGTGAATGAAGGTGCCTGGTCATAGCTCCTTTGGAGGGGGGCCTCCTGGCCCCCAGTGAACCAGCCCATGGTCCTACAGATGGCGCCAGAGACGGAGCTGAGTATAGGATGGGAGCAGAGAATAAAGTAGCGGAGCCACAGACGTCCTGAGCCTGATTCCCCACAGGGGCAGGTGGACAGATGGCCCCAGGCCCATGACCCAGAATCTCTGGGCAGACACAGACTTGGGCCCCCATACACCCTGCCAGCTCAGGGAGGCTCAGGCTGTCCCTGGCTCCTCTGGGAAGGCCCTTCTGGCCCATACTTGCTGTCCTTTCCAATGGAGTGGACATCAACTTCTACGATGATGGGGCTGCAGTGCCACTGGGGGAGGGGGGCACCCAATGCAGGCAGCTTACAGCAAAATGTTTTATTTCTTGGATGTCAGAGATGAAAGGGTCTGTACACATCACACATCACATGGGACACTGCACACGTGGCTCCCCTGACCTCAGTCAAGGAGAGAGCTGTGAACTCCAGTTAAAAAACACAGAGAAAGAGAGAAAGAGAGAGAGAGAGAGAGAG